AAAAAAAAAAAAAAAAAAAAAAAAAAAAACGTCTTCTTGATGGAACTATCAAAAAGATTAAAAAAAAAAAAAAAAAAACATGCAAGACCCGTATCAAATTCGCATGCCTAATTAATCGGCTAAAGCCATAAATCAAAATAATCACAACAATGAAGCTTATTGATGATTTTTCTTCTTTTTGGTGAAAAATCGTCCAATCAAATAGGCTAAAGTTTTTTTCTTCGGCTTCTTAGTCGAAGGCGGAGACAATGATGACTTTTGGGCCATGGACTCATATTTCACAGATATGTTTCGGTTCAATTCAAGAGGGACCGCAAATTTTACGCTTCTCTTTTTCTGCAACATGTTCGTGTTGTTTTCTTTTTTATTTTGTACGAATTTTGGATCTTTGTCGACGTCGTGATGGATTGCCATTATTGGTGAAAGAGGATGCTCGTGGTGCAATTTTTCATGTTCGGTTGATTTGAGTTGTTTGAGTTCTTGCTTGGTGCGTTCGAGCTCGTCTTTGAGAGATTGAAGGCAGAAAGCTAGTAGATTGTTCTCTTCATTTTGCTTTGTTTGTGATTCTCCCACATCCACCCTCTGATAAAACAACATCATTATATGAAATATATATTTTTTAATTCATGTAATATTAAAAAAATTAATTTAAAACTAAACAAGTTTTTAGGCATAAATTGTAATAAGAATAATTAATATTAATAAATAAAAATTAAAATACGTACTTCCTTCATTTTCTTGGCATAAATTTCCCCCACCAAAATTCTTTCTCCGAACAACGTGACGGCCTCTTTAACGGACTTGAACGGAGCTCTAGTGTCAATCTCCGCTCTACCTTGCACAACCAGCCGCTCGCCGCCGTGTTCTCCGTCCATGGTCGCTGTAGCGCCGCCGCTGAAACCTCCGTAGGGGAACTGTGATGAAAATTGAGTGTGAAGAGATGGATAAAATGCGGTGGGTTTTAAAGGGTTTGAAAATGGAGGAGGTTAATGAAATTGATTAGGGAGTTTTTTAGTTTTTGTTTACTTCGCGTCCACTTCACTGGAGAATTTTAGTTGGATTGAAGTTGACAACGGCGGTGGTTAACCCATCTTAATTCCGTTAGTTCCGGCGGGTTTTGTTTTAAGATTAGGACTCCTCTCCTCTCTTCCCTCGGCGCCAACCATTACGCTCCGCCCCCACTCCACCCACTCATTTTCTCAATTAAAAACCACTTTTAAAACTGTATAATTTTATAAAATTTATATGTTTTTTTTTTTTTTTTTTTTTTTAATTTCAATTGATTAATATTTATCTCCGAATAATTTATATGCTTCAAACGACCCAATAAGTCTTCGAATTAGGGTTTTAGTTTTAAGTCCGTATCTACCGTGCTCTATTTTTTTTTTCCCCGAAATTTAAATACCAATACTGTTCCCAATAAATATTAATATATTGAAAAGAGAAAGCAGTTTATCGGAATTGCCCTAGAACGTGCGCGATTATGGATTGAATTAAGTAGCACTGAGATAATTTTATAACCCAATTTTTTTTAATTAAATAATAAACCTAATTGAACCGATCCAATCTAATTATAATTGTTTTTGGGAACGTTGCTAAAAAAAAAGAATATATATATATCTAAATAAAAGTAAAGGTAAAACATTTAATTAATATTTATAACTTTATTTGACTATATATGTAAATAATCGGAAAATAATTATGAAATAAAAAAAATATATATACTAAGGGTATATTAACTAAAAATCTATTAATTTAAATTAACAATAAATTTGAATCGAATCATTTCTCTCTAATATAGTTTTAAAATTAAGGAAGTAACTATAGTTTTAATATATGCAAAAAATTTATTAATTTAAACCATTTATAATAAAGTTAGTAACATTTGAGAATTAAAAATAATTTAATATAATTTATATAAAAATTCAAATTTAAATATTATAATACATACATTTATATAATATAAAAGATATATTATTTACTAAGGAGTAGGTAAAGAAAGAAAATATAAATAAATACTAAATTTGTTTTGAACCTAATTTTATATATAATGAACTATACAAGAATTTGGTGAGGTCGGGGCGGGAACAAAAATGGACGTATTATACGAACGCATGCAGAGGACGGCCAAAATGTGAGCCAATGGGCCGAGTAGCCCAGTCGGTTGCAGTCCAATCATAAGTCTACAAAGACTGGCTTGCTTTCCCCGCGATGGTTTATGCTTGATTGCCTTTGCGGACGATCCCCAAGTCTACCCGGGAAACAGAAATTCGACTGGGATTGTTGGCAATTTTCGCAGAACAAGATCATCGAGCCTTTAAGCACCGGAGAGGTAATCGAATTCACCGCACAATTCTGGTACCGGAGTCGTACGATTCCGTTCTTTCTTGTTAATACTGATCGATGAAGGCGCTTCAAAGCACAGTAGGAGTATGAAGAAGAAGAAGAAGCTGCTGGAACTGCCTAACGCTCTCGATATTTAGCCGTTTAACGTCATACAATTACCGAGCTCCTTCTCGTCGTGTTCTTCGCTATTTCAAGAACGTCATGAGTCCCATTCAGAACCTCGAGCAACATTCTCGCCACCTCGTTGAGCCTGAACTCAGTACGCTCTCTTTATCTCTTTCTATCTATCTCTCTTTTCTTTGTTCGGGCGCGAACGCATTTGTCTTTGCGACCATTAGTTCTAAGAAACTAGGTAATTTGATCTTGAATTTGTTGTTGCTTATCACGTTTATCTAATTTGTTTTAGTATTTCACTTCGAAAATCGCTTAAATTATGCCATGGAGATGCAACGTGCTCGGTTTTTGCACCAATTTCCATATCGTTATCATATTTTCTTATTGTTTCTTGTCGATCAAACTGAGCTATGCTTACTCTTACCCGTACCGTTTTTTTTTGTTATTTTTGTTTTGTTCTGAAATGTACTCTTGAGCAGGTATTCAGACAAGGCTTCAGATGGCAACGGAGGTTCGAGATAGCCTGGAGATTGCTCACACTCCCGAGTACTTGAATTTTCTGAAATGCTACTTTCGAGCGTTCTCCGTTATCCTACTTCAGATTACAAGTCCTCAATTTACTGATAATCTCGAGAATAAACTTCGGAACATTGTGGTGGAGATCCTTAATCGTCTTCCTCACAGTGAAGTTTTAAGACCCTTCGTGCAGGACATGTTAAAGGTTGCCATGCAAGTGCTTACCACAGATAACGAAGAGAACGGCTTAATTTGTATCCGCATAATCTTCGATCTCCTCAGAAATTTTAGACCGACTCTAGAACATGAAGTGCAGCCATTCCTTGATTTCGTGTGCAAAATTTACCAGAACTTTAAGTTGACCGTAAACCATTTTTTTGAAAATCCAGCTACCGGTGTCGAAGATCTAAAGCCCACGGATGTATCCACTACATCGGACCAGTCAATGACTGCCGGATGCACAGGGACTATGCAGCTTAATCCCAGTACCCGTTCATTTAAGATAGTAACAGAGAGTCCACTGGTCGTGATGTTTCTTTTCCAGCTGTATAGTCGTCTTGTTCAAACAAATATCCCTCTCTTGCTGCCTCTGATGGTTTCTGCTATTTCTGTTCCAGGACCTGAAAAGGTTCCTCCCTTTTTGAAGAATCATTTCATTGAACTGAAGGGTGCGCAAGTTAAGGTACGCTGATTGGATATTATTCTTCTTCAACTTTTTTTTTTTTTTTAAAAACAATTGGTGGGGGTTATCGGTTTGTGCATGATGTGGGAGCGTATTTAACCTTTGTAAGATTTCTCTACAAGGCGATACATTCGTGGTAATTTCTCCAGCTCCATTTGGCAAACAGGGCTTTGTTATTCTCTTTCATCAAATATAATCCCAAGACCTCCCTTTTAAGTTAGGAGGTTTATGGTATTTCGTCGGACAAGATGTGGACATCTTTCCATAGATAGTTTCTTAACAATCTTTCTATTTTTGTAGCCACTTTGTAAGGCATTTCTAATAGAAATATATAGTAAGTAGGAAGGTTGGATAATGTGACTTGTATTAGAGTGAGCTTGCCGCCTTTGGATGTGTATCTTGAGGACCATGTTGATAACCTCCTTTCGAATTTTTCAAGAAAGGTCTTCATTTTTTTTTTATAAGAGATAAGGATACGTTATCCATGATGTTTACAAAAAAAAACCTTCTCAAACAACAATGTTGAAGAGCTTAGTATAAGTCTGGGCTTTTTTCGTGAAGACTCTTTGATTTCTTTCTTTCCATAGAGTCCAAAAGAAAGCCATAAGTAGTTTTGTGATTCACTGTATTTCTTGCATGGTGGACACCAACTTAGAAATAGAGTCCTATAGAACATTCTTTTTTACGTAGATTTTTACTTATGCTAATGATTTTATGCGTTATTTCCCAAAAGAAGAACTTCAACTTTTTAGGGTGATTTCCTTTCCATATTGTCTTTGTTAGTGTGGGGCTTATTGCTTCTACTTTTTTTCCTTAGGTCCATTATCAAAGATTTTGTAGAGAAGACCCCGTTAGCATTAGGAAGTCATATCAATGAGTCTGCTTCTTTAAACAATACAATTGAGGTGAGGTTGAGGCTTAATTCAGCCCATTCTGTAACTTCGTTAGCCCTTAGGTTCCTACCAAGCTTCAAGTCCTAGAATTTGTTGACATCATTCCATATTTCTTGGATTGTGGTTGTTTTGCTATGAGAAAGTCTATATAGAAGTGGATACCGTAAGGATAGCATGGGGTTTTCAATCCAGGGATTGGTCCAGAAAGATGTGCTTCCTCCATCACCAACCCTATGGCAAATTCGGTTGGTGATGAGGTTTTGGTGTTTTCTTTTTATGTACTTCCATGGTCTTTTTGCAGAAGATGGAAAGGGTCAATTTGTATATGTTGTAAGAGTATATTTGGCCTTTATAAATTTTCTCCACAAGGCGTTTTCTTTGCGATTATATCTCCATATCCATTTGGCGAGAAGAGGTTTGTTCTTCTACTTTATCGAAAATAGACCATGTCCTCCCTTATGTACCGGGAGGTTTATGATATTGCACCATACAAGGTGTGGGCCATCTTTCCACAAGTAGTCTTTGAATAATCTTTCTATATCCTTAGTCACTGTTCGTGGCATGTAAAAGAGAGACATGTAGTAAGTGGGGAGGTTGGACAATGTGGTTTGTAAGTGGGTGAGCCTTCCACCTTTAGAAGTATAACATGATGACCATGTGGATAATCTTCTTTCTATTTTTTCAATAACGGTCTTCCAAAATGAGAAGGATTTGTGGTTCCCATTTAAGGGTGATCCTAGGTACATATTTGGGCATTCACCCTTTACAACCACATTGGTTGGCTAGGTTTTCGGTAATCTTTGTGCTAACATTGATGCCCATATTCTCTGTTTTTTGGATATTGATATTTTGTCCTTTGAAACTTTCAAAGGTTTTTACCGCCTCGATCATATTTTTTGTGGAGAAGGCATTTGGAAAATCAAAGAAGAGGATTTTATCATCATCAAACTGATGATGGTTGATGCTTATGCTTTCATTCCCAACCTAAAAGCTCTTTATGTGCCCTTCGTATTCGTCCTTGGTGAGTAAGCAACTTAGGCAATCCATTACCATTATGAAAAGGAATAGGGATAAGGATCCTATTTTTGAAGACCTTGTGGGGCGTGGATCTTCCCTCTCGGTCTTCAATTGATGATGATGGAGAAGTTTGTGAGTGAAATAAAATCTATTATCCGCCTTCGCCATTTTGAGCCAAAGCCTTTTGCTACTAGAATATTTTCGAGAAAAGTCCAATTGACCTTGTCGAAGGCCTTTTCAAGTCAAGCTTGACGACGACTCCTTTTTGTTTCTTTCTTTTCCATTGATCTATAAGTTCATTTTCCATGAGCGGTGTTTCGAGGATACACCTTCCTTCCACAAAAGTTGTTTGTTGCCCAATAATCGGGAAAGGTAGGACCCTTTTAAGACGCTCTGATAGCACCCATGCTATGATTTTGTATTGTCTAGTCGTAAGACGGGGCGAAAGTTTGTGACAATGCAGACATCTATTTCTTTGAGATCAAACAAATGCATGTTTCATTTAGGTTGTTGTTAATAATTCCATTTTGAAAAAAAAAGAAAAAAAAAAAATCTTGGAACACTTTCACGATATGGGCCTGCAAAATGTTCCTACATAAT